GGATGGTTTCAGCAAACTTTGTACTAATTATTATTATATAAGTTTGAATTCAAGAAATGATCTTTACTTATGTAAANCAGTTATCCAATTCAAGCTTAAATCAACTTCTAAGATCTGGCCAAAATTTTCGCATGCATGTCATATCACTAAAACTAGCGAAAAACAACTAAGCATGGAATGGCACAAAAGGACAAACTGTATTTCATTGAGTAAAGGATGGAAAGGTTTAAAAACAAGACAAACAACTAAGATACGAGTTACAAATCTAAATTAACCCGGATAAGGAAAATAGCAACAAAACAGACAGACATGACTCGTACAAACAGAATAGAAGGATAGAAGGGTTTGACTCAATAAAACAAATAAAATCTGGATACAACCCTGAAATAACCCAGATAACAAAAAAAACATCAAAACAAGCTACCAAGATTCCTTCCTAGTGAGGGGAGAATGACTTTTCAATTGCTAAGCTTGACATTTAGCCACAAATTTGCTCATCAGAATCACCATGGCCTTCTCCAATTTCAGTCGGCAAGTTCCCGAGAGGATTCTCATACTCAATGTCACCAGACATCATCCCCACAAAGTGTGCATCATCATGTGCAGGTAAAGGATTCTGCGTGATATTCTGGGTGTCACTGTCTTGGACCACAATTAGTTTTTTTCTGGATCATCCTTTCTATTTCTCTTTTCAAATCCCGACAACTTTCAATATTGTGCCCCTGGGCATTGGAATGGTATTCGCACCTTTTAGAAGGGTCAAAGCTTCTTGCACGTGGGTCCACATGATTTGGAGGAATGGGTGCAATCATGTCATAATGCTTTAACTTCTCAAATAAGCTTGCATAGGACTCTCCTATTGGTGTAAAATTATCCTTCAACTTTTGTTCCCCTTTATACCTCTGGCTTGGATGTGGGTTATAGGGCACCTGAAAATTTTGTGGAGGCTGGTGGAGATTTTGTGATGCTCGTGCTCGCCTTCTGGGGTGTTTTGGTGGCTGGACAACATACTGAGGTGAAGCGACGGGGTATTGGGTTCTGAGGGGGACAGTATTGCTCAGGGGAGTTATCGGAAAACAGACGAGGATGGTCATACCTTCGAGACGTTCTCCTAGGACCTCTTCTCGACCCTGATGTCATCATGATTTCTTCATCCATCTCATTCGTGTTACCATATTCAATTTGGACAGCCTAAGTTGCAGCTTTGAGAGCTGCTTGACTTATAATTTTGCCTGTCTTAAGACCATTCTCTACCATAATTCGTGTTACCATATTCAATTTGGACAGCCTGAGTTGCAGCTTTGAGAGCTGCTTGACTTATAATTTTGCCTGTCTTAAGACCATTCTCTACCATTTCTCCCATTTTTATTGCTTCCGAGAAGGATTTGCCAACTGCGGACATCATGTTTTGAAACTAATCTGGCTCTTGATCCTGAAGAAAGACGGTGATTAGCTCGTGGTCATCCATGGGTGGCTTAACTCTAGCTGCTTGCTCTCTCCATTTAATGGCATATTCCCTGAAACTTTCAGTTTGTTTCTTCTTCAGGTTTGAAAGGAAATTGCGGTCTGGAGCGATGTCGATGTTGTATTGGAACTGTTTGACAAAGGCCTGTTCCATGTCATCCCAGACATACCAGCGAGACGTGTCTTGATCCATAAACCATTCGGATGCTACTCCCGTAAGGCTAGACCCAAAATAAGCTATTCGCAATTCTTCATTTCTTCCTGCACCTCTTAGTTGATTGCAATACCTTTTCAGGTGGGCTATAGGGTCTCCGTGTCCATCATACTTTTCAAATTTGGGAATCTTGAAACCAGGCGGCAAGTGGACATTGGGGAACATACATAGATCCTTGAAGGCAATACTCTTCTGACCTGCCAACCCTTGCATGTTTTTCAATTGTTGTTCTAAGCTTTTCACTCTTTGGGTCATTTCTTCCTGTGCCATCTTTCGGGCAGGCTTCTCAATCTTTGCAAGAAGATCAAATAGGTACGAGTGGTACTCAGGAGAGTAGGACTGTTCTTGCTGGGTAGCAAACTGTGACTCATGAGTTTTCCTCTGCACCACCGTCGGCTGTGGGACAGTGAAGACAGGCATAACAGTAGTGGTTATCTGATTGGTTGTCAATGGCACACTTTGGAAGCACGCAATAGAAGTTCCAACTGTAGCCGCACAGTTGGGATAAAGACTGAACCCGGGTGGATAGGATTGATCAGACAATGAGACCTAAGTGGTAGTAGTCGAGATCGGTGTGAACTCGGGGAAACCAGGAATAGATAAGGGTGGACCTTGGCCATTGGCCCGTGCTTGACACATTTCAGTCATTTGCTGCTTTAGTACCCTATTTTCCTCAACCACAGTAGACTTTTGTTGAACCCTCTGACCCTGAGTCTCTTGACTGCTTGCAACAGTTTTGATGTCAGTTGTCATTTTTTCCTTTGGATTTTGTGTTGTCATCTTGCCACAAACCGACCACCTCAAAGTTTCTTCACAATTCAAAACAAAAGACACGTTAGAATGGACTCAGTCGGTCCTTATTATTATCATCATTTTTTTTCATTTTTCATTTTTTCATTTTTTTTAATGGTTGATCGAACCTAATGTGGGTTGCCTACGTATCATGTGGGAACATGAATCAGATCTTGCGTAGTTCGGGAAGATCAAAAATGGAGTAAATAAACTAACTTTTTTTTGGATTTTGGACTTTTTTTTGAAAGAAAGACTTAAAAGAAGAAACAAAATATTTTTGGATTTCGATTTGTTTGTTTGTTTGTTTTTAAAATTTTTGAAAAGAAAGACTTCTAAAGAATAAAGAAATCTTTTTTAAATTTTGACTTTTTTTCTTTTTTTTTTTTTGGAATTTCCAAAGAAAAACTTCTAAAGAAGAAAGGAAGTATTTTTTGGATTTTTGAAATTTTATTCAGAATTTATGAAAGAAATGCTTCTAAAGAAAAAGAAAATATTTTTGAATCTTGAATTTTCTTTTCCATTTTGAAAGAAGAATGAAAATATTTTTGGATTTTGAGAGGAAATTAAAAGAAAATATTTTTGGATTTTTTTTAAAAAAAAATTGGGGTCTAAAAGGAAGACTATTCTAAAAAAAAAGGAAGAAAAAAAAAATATTTTTGGATTTTTGAAAATTGGGGTCTCAAACAAAGACTTTTCTAAAAAAAGGAAGAAAAGGAAAATATTGTTGGATTTTTTTCTTTTTAAAAATTGTGGGCCGGAACCAATGAGGTTTGCCTACGTATCTCACATCCGGTGAGAATCAGACCCACGTAGTTCGCCAGTTTTGACATAATTAAAAAACATGATATCGAGCACTTTCATTTATTTTTTTGGAAATACATTTACTTTTCCTCTTTTTTTTTCAAAAAAATTGGCAGAGTTTCAAGGCATTTTCAAATACCGGGGTTTCAGGACCGGGTGAATTTTCTATCCTACCTCACTCTTGGTTTTTCTGTTGTTTTTCTTTCCTTAGCCGGTCAACATGCAAGCCGAAGCAAATAAATGTTCACATAGCACGTATGATGCATTAGGATGGTCTGTTATTTTGGGTACACCTGTCCTAGACGGACCCAACCCCTGTGTTGAGTCCCCAAAGTCAAATGCACGTGATGCAAACAAACGTTCCTATTAGGGATCCGGCATGAGGTTACGTTATTCTAAGTTTAAGCCTGGGGTTGTGTTCTTAACCTGGCTTACCCGAGCGGACAACTCGAGTCAAAGAGGGGGCAACGTACCGGGAGCACGAAAGTCTACCCGGCCTTGTTGCTGGCCCAACCTCGTTCTATTTGGTATGACTTCTAACAAAAAAGTAGGCCACGCGTACGTGTGCACCATATTTTCAGAAGACTCAAAAGGGAGGGGTAAACATTTTAATATAATTCAGATAATATCAAAGCGGTAAATAAACGGCAATTGGCACATTAGGCCCACAAAATGCAGTAATATCAACAATAAATAAAGCCAAGTAAAAATCAAAAAAACAAGCTCGAATTCTTGAACCCTGAACTAGAAGTTCTAGGTCCTTATCCCCAGCGGAGTCGCCAGAGCTGTCACGCCTCCTTTTTCTAACCCCGAAAAGGTATATAAGGGAGTTTTTCCAATTAAAGTGACAATAACTGAAACGGGATTATTTATTTATTTTTCAGAGTCGCCACTTGGGATATTTTATGGCATCCTAAGTCACCGGTTTAAAATCCCGAATCGAGAAAGTTTGACTCTATTTATGGTTTGCGAACACAGAAATCCGGGTAAGGAATTCTATTTACCCGGGAGAAGGTGTTAGGCATTCTCGCGTTCCGTGGTTTTAGCATGGTCGCTTAAATCATACCTGGCTTAAATAAATTGCTTAATTACTCATTTTAGAACCTATATACATTTTTACCTTTTACCGCTTTTAATTAAGAAATTAACCTGAAACGAGTCACGCGTACGTGTACTCATTTCGTTTTGGCGCGTCAAGAATCATGTCACGCGTACGTGTCCACAATTAATCACTCTTTATTAATATTAGGAATGTTTGGCCTAAGTTGCGAGAACGCATACCTCGATTTATTTTGAAAGTCGTAATCATGTTACGCGAACGTATACATAATCACAATAATAAATTCAAAACGCGCCTAAAGCACTCTAACGGTGTTCATTATTCTTCCTAAGTTTTGAGATTATTGATGCCAAATTTATGAACAAGATATTATTGGGGAGCAAATAGGCTAGCTAACATGATCTATTACTTGGCCAGATTCCTTATGGTCCAAGCCAACCTTATGGCCCATTCTTATTCCTTGCCAAGAAAGAAACAACTCCAATTTTTTCATCTACCCGATTAAAAGCATTTATTCAAAATCCCAAGACTACATGCATCACAATCGAAATAAAAACTAATTAAAATAATTTAAAGGAAAACTAAGACATGCTACTCAAACAACGTAGAATCACAAATCAGCCAACACGCGCACAAAGCTATCATAACACAATAAAACGAGAATGAAAACTAAGAAGTGGACCTTTTATTGATAAACAAAGCTGAAAATTGCAAGTCAATCAGGCTAAGCAAAGCAACAATCCTTGGACCGAAATACCAAAATTATAAACCGGATCCTCGAATCCACACCGAAAAATAATACCTAGCCCACGATATGGAGCCAAAACACCCAGAGTCATTATGTAAACACAAACAGCCCCACCTTCCTTCTTTTCAAGGCGACATGCAATTGAAGCAACACAAATATCACTGTAATACGCTAGCTTGGTAAAATCACCAGAGGCAAAGGCATCAGTGTAATACTTATCATTGTAGCGAACTGGGAAAATTGCAGTATTGATTTTCTTCAATTGCATCATATTCTTGTCCCTCACTCCATCCAATGAAATTGCCACCTCACGTCCTCCTACCCCCATTCTTTGATAATCCTGCTCTGAATTTTGGTATTTGGAGTTAAATAATTGGAGCTCCAAAGAGGAGCTTTAGGAGTTAGCAGCACGTAATTATTAGAAGAAGAAAGGAATTAGGTGAATAACAGAACAGTGTATAGTCAAAATAATGGCTGCTACCGTTTTGCTATATCCGGGAATTGGAGACAATGGACTCCTTTGCTTTATGGAATCTGCCGCTTTCTTTTATTTTTGTCTTTTTTTTGCTTGGTCTAGGTCTAGGAACTGAAATCTTAGGGTAGGGTTTCTATAATTGGGTATTTTATATGGAGGTGGGAAGGGATGATGGTCATTGGATTAGAAGGAAATAGGTGGCTAGGATTAAATCTTGCACTTAAGTGGGCTAATGGGTTGGGAAGAATGGGCTAAGGGTAATTGGGTTGGGCCGTGTCTTTTGGGTTTAAACTTAGACTAAGAAGACCAAATAATACAATGTATCTATAAAGTGTAAAAATCACTCTTGATTAAAATAAACTAATATAAAACTAAATACTAAAAGTGAAACTATTTTTGTTTATTTTTTAATTTTATGAAAGGTAAATAAACTAAAAGTAACTAAATAAAATATCAATAAGCTAAATGAAAGAAAATATTTTTGTAACTTTTATTTTTGTGATAAAATAAAGTAAAAGAGTCAAAATTAATTAAAATAGCGATATTAAAACTAAACTAAATATTTACGCTAAAATGTGTAAAATCTTGGGGAGGGTCAAAAATTACATGTGTACAATACGTAGTTAACCAAATATACCCGCCCTTTCCAAAAGAAAAATCCTGCGATCTTTAATAGTATTCAATTCCGGATCTGACAAATATGGTCCGATTCACTCATTTGCAACAGTTTTCCTTCAAAAGATTTTTTCTCTTCAACACACAGACAAAACCTACAGATCACTACCATGGCTTCCGAGAAAGAAACCCTAGAAGAGAAGAAACAAGAAAAAGAAATAAACGAGCAAGAAGAAAAGGTTAAACAGAACAGTGAAGAAATAAAAACTGATGATGATAAGGATGAAATAGGAGAAGACAGAGAGGGTGCAGGGGAAATGGAAGCAGACAAACAAGAGGAAGAGGAAGAATCTGAGGAGGAAGAGGAAAAGGAAAAAGTTATGAAGAAGGGAAAAGATAGAGGTGCAGTGAAATAGGAGGAAGGGAAAAGAGATAATATGGATTCGTCCACAACACCAGGTTCAAGGCCATCGGTGGAGATATGTCACGACCCAATTACCAAACCCAATCGTGCTGGCGCCTCTCGTGAAGACAAGGCCATCCAGACCAACACGAATCTCCCTTTTGAACAATTATTTAACATAAACCGTTCTAAGCATGATTTAATAACCATAACATGCGAAAATAGCGAATACAGTAAGGGAAAACATCCCGACACAGCCCAAACCGGGGTGTCACAAGTCACAAGCATCTATTAGAGTGTGAATACAGTTCTACAAGGTCTAAAAATACACGGAATAGGAATAATGAACAAAAGAGAGAGAAGCGGTGCTGCGAACACTGGCAGTTACCTCGCTAAACTCCTATAGCTCTGCCTCCAATCAGCCAAAACCCGCTACCGGGTGAATAAATACCTGCATCTGCACACGAGGTGTAGCGAGTAAAGTGAGTACTCCAACTCAGTGAGTAATAAAGGTAAATAACAACTGAGCAGTAAGAAATCACGTGAAGCAACCAACATGCTATATAGAAGCAGTGTACAATCTTTTGAGAAAACAGTGAAACTGTGAAATCTTTAGAAATATCTTGGCTCAGTTTAAACCTCTTTTGAAAATGATCTTTTCAACAGTTACGAAATGATTTCAAACAGTTAGTGCCGATAAACACAGAAAATCCGCCCCTCGGGCACAAATACCACATAACAGGTAAAATGACAAGCAAATAGGAAAGATGAACACATGAAAGTTCGCCCCTCGGGCAATATCTCAGAACAGTACCAGCCCCTCGGGCTACCTCACAATCACTCGTATCAGCCCCTCGGGCTACCTCACCATCACTCATATCAGCCCCTCGGGCTCACTCTCAGCATAGTATCAATCACTTAGAACAACGGGTACCCGCGCTCACTGTGGGTGTGCAGACTCCGGAGGGGCCCCTTACGGCCCAAGCGCTATATCAAGCCACCTCGTGGCATCATCACTCGGCACTCGGCCTCACATCACTCGGCACTCGGCCTCACATCACTTAAGCCACCTCGTGGCATATAAATGTATCTCAGGCCCTCGGCCTCATGTCACTCAGCATATCCTCACATATGGCCCTCAGCCTCACTCAGTCCGAAAATCATCACAAGCCTCTCGGGCATTTGTAAAACAGTAGTCCTCAGCCCAAATCATCAATTAGAACTATCATTTAAGTTTGAAGTCTGAGTAAAAGTGGCTGAGTTTATAAAACAGTAGATATCAACAGGACTGAGTTCAAGTAATGAGTCAAAACAGTGAGGAAATAGTGATAAAAATCCCCGAAGGGTTCAAATAATTGGCACGAAGCCCAAATATGGCAATCAGCCCAAATCATGATAATAACAAATAAGTTTTCGGTCAAATATGCGGTAAAATCATCAATCGGGACGGACCAAGTCACAATTCCCAGTAGTAAAAGACCCCACGCTCATCATCTAGCGCGTGTCTCACCTCAATATAGCACTACGATGTGCAATCCGGGGTTTCAAACCCTCAAGATATCATTTACAATCATTACTCACCTCAAACCGGCAAAATCTCTAGCTCGTGACGCCTTTGCCCCTCAAATCGGCCTCCACGCGCATCGAATCTATCCACAATCAGAGCAAATGCATCACAATATGCTAAGGGAACAAAGCCCAAGCGAAAACAATCAATAACGGGCACAAATCCCGAAATTACCAAAACCCGAGCCCCGGGCCCACTTCTCGAAACTCAGAAATTTTTACATCAACGGGTTCCTTATCTCACCACGAGTCCATACATACCAAAAACTCTCAAATCCGACCTCAAATCGCCCTTCAAATTCCAATTTAAAAAAAACTCAAAACCCAAGCCCTAGTTCTTCCCATTTTAGCTAAATTTCAATGAATTTCTAGGTTAATTTCACATAATAATCACGTGTTTGGTCCATAGAACTTACCTCCAATCAATCCTCTTCGAATCCCTCTTCAATTGCTCCCAAGAAGCTCTAAAAATACTCAACAATGGAGGAAAATGACTTAGGCTCGCGGATGAAATATTTTTAAAAACCCTTCTGCCCAGCTGATACTTTCCTCTATGCGATCGCGGCCCCAGGCCCACGATCGCGAAGCACAAATCTTCCAGGCCTCAAAAATGGTCTGCGCGAACGCGACCAAATGACTGCGATCGCGAAGGTCCAACCTTCACAACTACGCGAACGCGTTCCATTATTCGCGAACGCGAAGAAGAAACTTGCCTGGACTCCAATGCCTTATACGCGAACGCGAACTACAGACCGCGAACGCGAAGCTTCACCACCTGATTCTCTGCGATCGCGAACGACCAAACGCGAACGCGATGAGCAAATATCCTGCCTCCCAAATTCCTTCTATGTGATAGCGAGGGACCTCCCGCGATCGCGAAGACCAAAATACCCTGCTACAGCTGCTGCAATTTCTGCTACATTACCAAGTCCAAAACTTCCCGTTTAACCATCCGAAATCACCCCGAGGCCCCTGGGACCTCAACTAAAAGCACCAACTCACCCTACAACATCATTCAAATTTGTTCCAATCATCGAAACGTCTTAAACAACATCAAAACCATTGAATTACATCGAATTCAAGCCTAAGTTCTTTTAAAACTTCCGAAACACGCATTCGATCAAAAACCCAACCAAATCACCTCCGAATGACCTGAAATTTTACACACACATCCCATATCACATAACGAAGCTACTGCAACTCTCGGAATCCCATTCCGACCCTCGGATCAAAATCTCAACTACCAACCGGAAATCGCCAAAATACTAACTTCGCCAAAACAAGATAATTTCTACACCGGACCTCAAAAACCATTTTCGATCACGCTCCTAAGTCATAAATCACCCAACGAAGCTAACCAAATCATAAAAATTCCGATCCGAGCTCATATACAGATAAGTCAACTCTTGGTCAAACCTTCCAAACTCAAAGCTTTCAACTGAGACTCTTCTTTCAAATTCATTCCGATTTTCCTGAAAACCAAAACCAACGATTACATCGGTCGTAATACATCACACGGGGCAAGTCATGCCCGAGAACTGGCGATCAAAGTGCAAAGGCTCAAAGCGACCGGTTGGGTCGTTACATCCTCCCCCACTTAAACACACGTTCATCCTCGAACGGACTCAGAGTTGTTCCAAAAGCCAACCAATAGCTGAATAACCTTACCAAGCATATACCTGGGGGTGATCCCACGTCACCCTATCTCATATAGGTCCGATAACACATTGTAACTGAAATTTCACAACCCAATCTAGCCCATAAACCTTAGAACCACAATTCCATTTCCGAAATCATACACAAGATCAGAACCTCACATCTATATTCAGAATAAGCCCGAACCAGCTGTAATAACCCATACCTGCAACCTCCGGTGCAATTACCTGATATACCACAGAACTCAAATTCCTATAGCGATAACTTCCATTCACAGCAGCTGCACACAATGCCTGAATACCGGTAGTAAACCTCTTATCAACTAAAGTTTCATTCCAACACTTTTACATATACTGCAACTGGTAACTAAAACACGCAGTAAGCCATCACCATTTCTCAGATCAACCATTCATGAAGCCACTTCCCTTTTGGCTAATACCACAGCAGATTCCCGAGCCGAACCTCGATATTATCCTTCCAACAAGTTGAAATCAAATCCGTTCGTATTCATTGATGATCCCAACGATCACCTCGAATCCAACACACCACTCCGGTGATATGACACATCAATACAGGCCTAAGCCACAACTTGCATAATATGCGCACTAATAAGAAACGGTCCGAACATAC